ATAATAGACTGGGGCAGACAGGGCGGAGGTGCTCAGCGCGAGGGCCAAACGCAGCCATAGCCCCCGGCGCAGCCCCTGATCCTGAGGCTCCTGGACGCACCGTCCTCCACTCTGGAGGCGCCCGGACGCCCCGAATCCAGCCCTGACATGAGCGCGGTGCAGCCGCGAGGACCTGAATTCACCCCCTGGGTCCTCACCGCGGTTCGCTCCCCTTCAAACTGGAGCCGCTTCCTTCCATCGACCACCAGGCTCTCTCCGCCCCCCAAACGTCCCATGACCCCATGCCCGTTCCTCAATCCCTACCCCATGTCCTTTCTCCCCGCTCCCCATCTCACCATGACTGCGGCGTACTGGGACCTCCACTCGCCACAACTTCAGCAAACCGGCGAAGGCCCTCCCTGCGCAACCACTCCTGTTGCTTTCTCTCTAGTAGCTGAAAGGCCGACCCTTCCGGCACATTTTGGCTTCCTATTGGCTATGCATCTCTGTCAGTCATCAGATCAGGAGTTTGGTTGAGAAGCCAAAACGGAGACAGCGGAAAGTGAAAAGTCACTGTGAGTGCGGAAGAGCCTGGCCTCGCGGTGCGAGCTGGGATCGTGGCGGACCCGGACTCAGGAGGCCAGAGACAGGCGCGGGGACGTGCGCGCACCTGGGCCGGTGGAGCCCGAGATAGGGGCCTGTGGCCCCAGCTGAAGCGCGACGGTGTTGGTTATGAACACGTCGTGTGGGTCGGGCGTATTACTCACGCTAGCTTGTTTCACTTATTCATTCCAGAAATCCTTACGTCTGTTGTGTGCCAGGCACTGTGCTAGGCTTTGGACATTCACGGCCCTAGAACGGCGCCTGGTATTTAGGAGGCGCCCATTAAGTGCATATTTAATGTTGCGAGGTGGAGGGGTCGGGGGAGGGTGCCGCAGGTATTCTGCAGCTGCAGGGGTTCAGCTGCAGAGGGGAGGTTTGGAGGCCGAAGGTTGTTCTGCTTTTGGGGACTCTCAGCAGATGGACTTTACTTATCTCCAAGTCTCAGGTCACCCTAAAAAGGGACGTTCCGGGCTTCCCCATATCTTCCTTCCCCGAGGAAGCCGGCGACGATCTCTCCCAGAGCCAATGGAGGAGAGGCGTGCGCGTCCCGCCTCCTCCCCTTCCCTGATCGGGACCCTTTCCTTTCTTTCCAGAGTCGAGCTTCTTTCGCCCCATTGCAGAAATTCTGTTCTGCCTTCTGCATCATCGCAGGCTCACTCCTATTGACTCGACTCACTGCCAGCCTGGTGATTGTCGCAGTCTCTGTGGCGCAATCGGTTAGCGCGTTCGGCTGTTAACCGAAAGGTTGGTGGTTCGAGCCCACCCAGGGACGCTGTCTTTCTCTCCCGTTTTTAGTAGAAAGGGGAGGAAAAAGGGAAACTCAAGTGTTATTCTCCCAACCAGTTAAAAGCCAAATTTTGTATTGAAATGGCAGAGGTAACAATTTTTTCCATAGCAAATCAGAGGGTCATTGTGATTGAAAACTCGCTATTGTTCAGTCAATGGTGGGATAATTTCTCCAGCACTTCACCTCCTACCTCCCACCCCGCCCCCAAGCAGGAAAAGCAGACAGAGGTTTTTGTCTCATTGTGCAATAGGTTTCAGATTGCATTTTTCGTAGGATTAAGAATGAATTTGCAGTGGAGGTTGGACAGTTTTCCATTGTCTGCCTCAATCGATGTTACAATCTCAAAATATTACATTTGGAAGGGAAGAAAATACCGCGAGAGACAAAGGCAGCGACAAACTGAGGGATAAAGAAAAAGATGAGAAAGGGAGAACACAGCTTGATATACAGAGAGGGGACGTGACAGAGAAATAGGCGCGGTGAGTGGAAGGAAGACACCGAGAAAATGGAGAGAGGGAAAACGGAAGCAGTTAATATGCGAAGCATCAGGAAAAGGAAAACAACAAAACAATTTTTTTCTAGAAATTCACAGAAGTGGGGAAGAGGATGGGGAAATAGAAGCAGAAACTGACAAAGTATATTGTTTTGGGGAGAGAGGAGTAAAAGACGCAAAGGTCAAGACAGTCATAAAATCACTAGCAGAGCCGCCCTCTCCCACACTGTCAGCACCTTCAAGGGGATCTTATCCTTGCAGTAGCTCTCAGTATGTACTGGAAATAATTACCTAGATTACTCGGGTTCCTGCCCTCTGGAAGCTTCTAGCCTGTGTCAGACACAGTGACCCTTCTGATGAGAGGTGTCAGCTGGAGGACTGTGTGGAACTACAACTAACACAGAATCGAGGGGGAAGCATTGGCACCACTGTCAGCCAGAGGCGCATCCCAGGGTGAGGGGTGGGAGCCTTCACTTTTATAGAGGAGCTAAGCAAAGGACGCCCTCAAGCAGTTCCCTTTGACATATGGTCTCCCTCAAGACTGGGCTCAGAGGCCTCTTCTGAAAGCCCTGCCCATCGCTCACAGAGACTTACTGGGCGCTCACAGGGCTGGTGGGGGCAAATGGGAGGGATACACAGTGCCATGGAAGCTAATGGGACAGGCTGTGTAACCCTCTGGGTTTGCCCCCACCGGCCTGTGAGCACCCTGAGGGCAAAAGCCGGGCTCATCAGCTTTATGTCCTCCGTGCCTAGCACAGATTTGACATTGGCACATGACAGGTGCTTCTTTGCCGGGAAACCAGAGAACTTCAGATATGAAAAAGGTTGGGTCAGAAGGTTCTCCTGATAAACCAGAAAGGCCAGCGATGTGAGGACGGGTCGCCCAGGATGGAGTTGATTAAAATGAAGTTTTAGTGGGTAGTGGGGTCTTCAGCATGCCGCTTCTGACTTATGGTTTGCTCGTGGCTGGCGCTTAATAACTGTCTGAGGAACAAGTGAACGGACCCCCGGTGAGCACGGTGGCCCCCTCCGGCAGCACTCCAGGATTAAAGGGGCCGCAGTTGGGACTCAGAGGGACGTCAGCTCTCTTCCTACTAGCTGATATCCTACCCCTCTGCCCCCAGGCAGCCCCTGGGTGCCCCTGTGGCTTGTGAGTGGGACCGAGATCTTCGCGAAGCCCCTACAGGTTTCTCTTGCCCGAGATCTTCTAGCCCGAAAGGCGTGGCAGACCAGGAGTCCCTGCTGCGCTCCCCTCCCCGGAGGGCGATTGGGGGACAGAGAAGGAGGCGCGAGTCTTCCCTGGCAGAGTCCAGGATGCCGGCGACTCACTTGCCTTAGGGACAGTGGGCGTGCCCACGCCAAGAGCCCCCTTTCCATGAGGAGCGGCGAACTCCTGGTCTCCGCGAGCAAGGACAGGGGAGCAGGTGACCAGATCCTTCCCCGGCCCTTCTCCTGCGGGTTCTCAGACAACTCCCTTTGGGCGGAAATCTCTCCCGCCCTTCCTCTTCTTCCCCGCCCCCATTCAGCCGGTGTGGCCTGAAGGCTGAAGCTGGGGTTTTGCGGCCGGTATCCGCAGGTCTCCCGGTCGCCGGCCAAAGGGTGAAAGCATTCAGTCCGGGAGCCCAGTTTTGGGTTCTCCGGGGCTTCGAGAAAGGAGGGAGGAAGGAGGCGGCGGCAGGTGCTCCGAAGCTTGCGGAAGATTTGTCTCCTAATTTCCTAACTCGAACCACCCACCGCCAGTGCGCTTAATGGCGCTTCTGGCCGGATAATCGAGCTTTTTGGAGGGACAGACAGTGTCCCTCCCTAATAAATCTCAAATAAGCAACTCGACCGTCCTAATGAGGCCCACGGTGGTCGCCGTAACGTAGTATCGATTGGCTTCCCCAGCGCCAGCCTCAGCCGCTCCTCCCGGCTTTTCCAAGCCTCTCTCTTCGTTCTCCTCCCGGCGGGGCCACTGGGGACAGGAGCCAGAGCACCGGGAGGCGCCTGGAGCGACGGTCGGAGTCGGCGGGCACCAGCCGCCTTTGCGCTCGCCCGGCTCCTCCCGCCGCCGCCGCGAGGGAGGCGCACCAACCGCGCGGAGCGCGGTCAGCGCACGGGCGCAAAATGCAGGAATCAGCGCAAGGCAGGAAAAAAAGCGCGGGCCATTTTTGAGCCCCCGTGCCTCGTTTTGTAGTCCATGCGGGCCTCTCGAGTTTGGTCGAGTTATTGTGCCTCGGCCCCGGAGCCTGCGTCCCCGTCTTCAGCTTGACTCCCGGCTGAGGCTGCGTTCCATTTTGCTCCGCGCGAGCACACCGAGGGCGCCAACCTCCACCACAGCAAACCGAGCTCCCCCAAGAGACCTCCCCCCAGGCCTCTCCCTCCGTCCCCCGGCGGTTTGCTCCCTGAGGCGCCCCGGCTGAGTCCCGGTGTGCTGCGTTTTAAAGCCAGTGATCTGGCCCCTGAGAGGGGCAAGGGGGTGGGGGACACGCTCTCACCAATGCAGTTACTAATTTTAAGGGAGTGTCACTTGAAAGTGAATGAAAATAACCCGGACGCATGGCTGGAGGCGTCGCCACCCTCGCCCCAGCCCAGCGCCCTTTGGTCGAGGCCGAGGCGTGGAGGACTGCAGGGCGAGCCACATTTCAGCCCGGTCCTCATCTCACCATTTTCCAGGCCCCCCAGCTAGGGGCGGGAATCGCAGGGTCAGAGGGTGGGGGGGAGCACACATATTTTTGGGGGGGAAGGGTAAGTTGCAGAGGGTAACAGAGAAGACGATACATCCTCCAGGGTCAGGAGCTGTTTGGGGAAGGGTGAGGTCGCGTCCTAGTTTTGGGGGCCGGGCCCCCGGCGGGGGCGCAGCCTCGTTAGCCTCTCTCCCTCCTCCTCTTTCCCTCTCCGCAAACACCCTGAAGGAATGAGGTCACGTGGGTGAGTAGTGGGCGGGACCTACTCTTGTCAGGAGGAAAAAAGCCATTTTGTCTCCCCCCTCCAGCCCCGGTCCCTCCCCTCCCCCCTCCGTCCCTTCCCCTCCCCTCTCTCCCTCCCACCCCAAGCCGCTTTCACAAACTCCTTTCTTACCGTAGGTTTCTCCCCTCCCGCCGCCGGAGCGAGAGACACGGCTGCGGCCCCCCTCCCCTCCCTTCCCTCCCTCCCTCCCATCCCCCCCTCCCCGAGACCCACCGGACCCCGAACCCAGGTAAGCGGAGGCGGACGCCCCTTTCCTTTCCTTCTCCTACCCCGTAACCATCTGGGGCATCGGGATGGGGGGCCGGTATTTCCTTCTTTGCAAACCTCTGTGGGAGGGGGAGGCTCCGAGCCGGGCCTGCTTCTCGCGTCCCCGCCCCACCCCCGCCAGCCCCTCTCGTAGCTCGCCCCGTCCGCCTTTCTTTCTCCCTTTTTTCTCTCCCCTTTTCCCTTTCCTCCCTTCCAAGATGGCCGAAGTGGATTCCCCCTTTTAACGATTTGGCGTCTCCCTCGACCACTACCTCTTTGTGCCGCAGCCCCCCTCGTAGCCCTGCTCCCGAGGTAGCGAGGGGGAGGGTCCGAGGCAGCCACAGGGCTTTGGGGCTACGCGCTGGGGTGGATCTCTGCCCCCCAGCCCTCCCCACGAGCCAGAGCAGCCCCAGGCTGCACGCCACTACCCCCTTGGGTCTGGGGAGGGGTCGCTCTCTGCTTCTTCCGTGGGTACTGGGGCGTCATGGACGCGCGAGGACTTGAGGCCGGGAGGAAGGGGACATGCTTTTTTGATTGCTGCGGGGCCGGGGGAGGGCGCTCTTCCCTGCCGGGGTCCCCGTCCTCTCGGGCACCTCCCCCAGCCGGTCCCTTTCCCCCATCCCAGGACTGGGCGCCCCGCCCCCTCCCCGAAACACCTCAGCAGAGCCTCTTTCTCCGGAACACCCCTCCTTGGGCCCCGCCGAAAGTTTGGCTCTAGGGAAGGTAGGAGCAGCCACCCGGTAACTGGGGTCTCTGATCCTCTGACCCAGGCTCCCGCAGAAGCCAGGGCGGAGGGGTTAGAATGGAGGTGGGGGGAGATTTATCGCGATATTTCCCGTCGCCAGCGGAGGCAGGAGGGGTCTGACCGACTGGCCCCTCTTCCACTGGGGAGCCAGGCTGCCCCCTCCCTCCCCAGGCCCTCCTGCTGCTACCTCTGAGGGGGTGGGACCCCTTGGCAAGCAGACACCCTCTGCCCCTCCAGTCTCTACGGTGGGCCCAGGCATGCCTCTCCCCCTCCCCCACCGCCCCCATCTGCCCAGAATTGCTCCGGATGGCTTGAGGTGGGGAAGGGAGGCGGCCTGGGGGTGGTGGATTTGCCTGTAAATATTGTGCGAGTGTTAACCCAGCGCTTCTCCCGGTCTTTGTCTTTTAGAGTACTCCCCCAACGCTGCCTCAGTCTCTCCAGGGCTCTCTGTCCCTGGGGAGGGGGTCACTTAGATGTCTCCCATTCCCTTCTGATGCCTCCTTCTCTGGGCCTCTTGCAGTTGTATCTGTTCCTGCAACTCTAATTTCTCTCCTTCCTCCCCCCTCTCCACTCTGTTCCAAAGTGTTAGGACTTGGAGAAGGAGCATAAAGCCAGCTCTGTTGCAGCTTTTTGGTGGGGAGGTTTTCCCAGGGGTTCCTTGGTTTGGAGTTGAAGTCTTAGAGCTGTCTTTGGAATGAGGCAGGAAACGGACTCCAGGTGAGACCTGGGACTCAGGATCCAGATCTTGTGTAGCTGGGTGGGTTTCAAGTTGAAGTCTTGAGGGGTAGACAGGAAGGGGGGCTCTCTGCTGCCCCTGGCCTTGCCTTCGAGATCCTGGTTGATGGAACTGTTGCCATAGGAATGGAGAGAGCCTGAACAGGAAGAGGTTATATCTTTGTGCAGGTCAGATGCCCACCCGGCTCCTCCAGCCTCTGGCCCCCAGAGCAGAGGTTGGGAGCTGCTCTGCCTTTGTTGCAGGAAGAGAGGTATGTTATAATTTACCCTGGGTGGACCAGGGATGCACAAAAGGTTAGTGTGTGTTTGCAGCTCTGGTTTCAGGTAGGGATGTCAGACTGTGCTTCTGGATGGGGCGGTGGGGGTGGCTTGTGCATTTGGCAAGTGTAGGCCTGGCTCTGGTCTGGCTGTGTGTATGATGGGGTGTGTCTGGCCAAGTGTCTGTCTGGTTGTATGTGTGTGTGTGTGTAGTATCTGTCTGGCCTTGTGTGTTGTGAGTGAGAGAGAGAGATGGAGGGGGTGTGTCTGGCTGTGTGTGCATATGTGTGCATACCTGGCAATTGTGGCTCCCTGTGTGTATATTTTGGGTGTTGGTCTTTGATCTTAAGAAGCTGAGAGGTGGGAAAGGGAGGGAGGGTAGAGTGAGCCAGCTTCAGGAGGCTAGAGGCCTTTTTCAATGCTGCTGGTTGGGGGAGCAGATCCTTGGGATCAGGGAATATTGAGAGGTTAACAATGTCCCCAGGCAGACCCCCTTCTCCCCTCACATCCCCCCCAAAATACATGGGGCTTCCACTGTTGGACCCACACAGCTGGGAGAGGAAGGGTGTACTGGGACCCAGTACCTTCTGCCTCACTGTGCTTCCACGCAGCCTCAGTTTCTCTATCTGTAACGTGGAAGTGGGGTGAGGTATTAAGCCTCTGCCCTCTCTTCCTACTTCAAGGTGAGAATATGGGCTGATCGTCATGTTTTGGCCAGACTTTGACCCCTCCCAGAAGGCTCACTGAGTGGTCTTCTAGAGAACCTGGAGTCCTTCTACTTTCCACCCACCCGGATGGAGTCAGGCCAGGCTTGTTGGTTCCCTAGATGTGTGGGGAGCCTGGCCTGGGTGCAGGTGTGTAGAGACTACTGGAACCGGGGTCAGGCAGCTTCTAGTCCTAGGACTGCCACCGCGTTGCTGCCTGACCTTAGACAAGTCACTTCTTTCTGATTTTCATCATCTGTAAAATGAAAGGATTGGACAAGATGCTTTCTAAGATCCCTTTTACCTCTGCAATTCTAGATGTCTGGACGTCACCTTGAGTGACTTTTCCTAAGACCTGGAGATGTTCTAGTGAGGGAGTTGGGCTAATGTCTTGTGGAGGAAAGGCAGAGCAAAGAAGGTTGTAGCTGGGCATCTGGAGGAGCAGAAGCGACCTCTGGTAATCAGACTTGACTATTTCTGCAGGGAAAATGAAAAACTGACAGCGGGAGAGACCTAAATTGCGGAGGAGCTTCCAGAAAGAGACTGGTTAGAATGGAGAGATGGAGGGTGGAGCCCTCTATTAGCAGGGGGCTTTGAGGATGGGGAAAGACGAGTGCCAGGCTTGAATGTCGAGGAGGAGTTGGGATTAGATGCTGGGTGCAGATCAGGCTCTTTTCCTGACATTGCAGCCGAGACCTGAGGCCCCAGGCGTGGGCAAAGACAGTGGTTCGGGGACAGAAGATATTGAAGGACTTGGTCCCTGGTTGGGGGTAGGAGACAGTGCCTGTTTCCGCCGTGGGGATGTAATTGAGACTGAACTGTTAAAGTCCCCAAAGGCTACTTCCAAATGGCCCTTGGTCTCCCTTTTCTGCTTCTTGGGATTTCTCTCTTCCTCAGTTTCTCCCTCAGGCTGTTCTCATTTCTCAGCCTCTTCCCTAAAATGATGACAGCTGGAGGTCCAGCCACCCATCACCCCTCTTCCCTCTCCTTTCCACAACACAGCAGCCAGATGCAGCTGGGAGGAATTGGGTGTCTGGAATGTGGAGCCCTGAGGCCTTGGGTGGGGAAGTTGGGGAGGGGGTGCAATGGGGGAACAGAGCTGTTTATGGTTGTTCTTGGCACCTGCTGGCAGGGCCCTGCAGGTAACCATGGCAATCAGGTGAGGAACCAATCAGTGCTTCTCCCAACCCCCCCCGCCCCAGAGGTAACAGTCTGAGGCCCCTGGGGATGGGGTGGGGGGGCAGGGAGTATGGCAAGGGGGGTCATTTCTTTAAGGGCAGAAGGAGGAACATTTCATTCAATAAGTACCACATCTATTTCTGTCTTTTCACCGGCGCATCCAGAAAGGGGCTTGAGGGATAGTCTTGGTCTTAATTCTCACAGATGCTGGCGGAAGCAGAAGGGTGAGGGGCATGGCCATTTGCCTAGGAGCTCCTGTGTTCAGGCCAGTCTGCCTGGCGGGAACTGGATGGGAGTTCTTAAGAGCAACTGTCTGTTTTGAAAACACAGCCAGTGTGTGAATGAGGTGGCTAAGGCAGTGTGAAGCGCCTACATGTTTGTGTGTATGTATGTGTGTGTGCGTGTGAAAGGGAGAGAGAAAAAGAGAAGGGGGATGAGATTCACAGACAGCAACCTGGACCCCCAGCATTATCAGACCCCAAAACATTTTCTTTCCAGCTGTGCGTGCACACACAGATTCATTCACACACAGACACACGCACGGGGCAAGTAGTCCCATGAAGTACCTTTGGAGGCCCAGACGGAACGTACACATCTGATGGATATTAACACGCTCAGTGAGACAGCCGCTTGGAGTTTGTTCTTTCCTCTGGATGGTTGTAATAATATTTGGGCATCTTGCCAGGGACAGGGTTACTTTGGAAACGACCAAACAGTGGAGTAGCCAGCAAGCCTTCTGCGTAATTGTGAAGGGGGCACCCGTGCAAGGAGGGCCAGCCGAGGCAGCCCTATATGAGGCGGGAACCCCTGTCCTTCCTCAGGCTGGGTCTGCTGGTCTCGGCCACTGCTTCTCCACTGGCCTCTGGGCTTGCTTGTTCCCCTCTGTCTGCCCTGCAACTCGGGGTCTCTCCCACGTGTGGCCTTTGTCTCTCTCCCTCTCTTTTGGTCTCTGGCCAGGCTCCCTGTGCCTCTGTTGGATGTCTGGGTCCTGGCCAAACTCATCTTGGGGTCTCTATAGAAACTGCTGATCCTGGCTGTGAATTTCTGGTCCTAGAAAACCCAATGTGGTGGCTTTAGAAATCTTTCTGGAAAGGAGGGAAGGGTGTGTGTTGTAAAGGAGCTGTTGGGCTTCGCCACCCTTCCAAGCCCCACCCCTTGGGCTTTTACTCTGGGAAAGAAGAGGGAGGGAGGGGCCGTGCCTTCTAGGTGCAGGTTTGATTTCTATGCCAGGAAGTAAGCACATTAGCCAATCCAGAGCTAGGCTTTGCCTGACCTCCCCGGACCCTGCCAGGGCGTGGTTGGACCCTCAGGTGGGCTGGGGACAGGGAGCTTTCTACCCAGCTTTGGCAGGTTTCTCGGAGAGCCTGTGGTCTGTCACTGGACAGGTTGCAGAGCAGGTATCAACAGGTGGGAGACGGTGGGTGGGTGGCAGTGCCCAGGTGGGAAAATTCCTGCCTGTGCATGGGAGGGGGTGTGGAAGTGTGTGCTCGTGGGCACAGGTGGAGCTGCGTGTTCCCAACATCGGGCGTGTAAGGACTGTCCTCAGTATTTCCTGGCTAAGCACCAGGCCTGGAAGCCCCACGGTCACCATCTGGTGGGTTTCCAGGTTGCTGCTCTGGGGCTGGGGCTGGGGCTGGATGCAGAGCCAGAAAGACAAGTGATGGGGTGCCCCCTTCAAACTTAGGGCAGCCTGTGCCCACAGTGTTTCCAGGGAAGGCTTCCTGGAGGAGGAGTAGATGGGATGGAAGAAGGGCAGGGTGGAGTAGAAAGAGCAAGTCAGGGGCCTTGCCTGTATAGAGGGGCTGCGTAGAGGGGCTGCGTAGAGGGGCTGCGTAGAGGGGCTGTGTAGAGGGGATGCATAGAGGGGCTGCATAGAGGGGCTGTATATAGAGGGGATGCGTAGAGGGGATGCATAGAGGGGCTGTATAGAGGGGATGCATAGAGGGGATGCATAGAGGGGATGAGGGGGTGTGGGTAATTTATTGTTTCTTTTATTTTCTTGAGGCTCAGGACACTGGCTTGTTTAAATTTCCTCACAGCTCCCAGCACTTACTTGAGTGAATATGGGTTGGGATCAGGGAGATTTTTTAGAACTCTGTTCTCTTCCATTTTCCTGCCTCCCCACATCCTCTGAAAAGTTGGGTAGTACTTCCTGTGGTCTAACCTCAGTCTTTTCTGCTGCTCCTAAGATGGAGCCTGACCTTGTTGCTCAAGGTTATGTGAATCTCCAGAGCCCCTGGCACCCAGTGAACACTCAGAGGAGGCCAGAAAGAACCAGCCCCATGCATGCACCCAGTCCGGCCTTGAGGGCACAGAGGAAGGGCCTTGGGCTCGGGGAGAGATGTTGCATGGGAGGGGCTCCTGGATCTCTGGGTTTCTGATTCCACTTTCACTTCCCAGGGTGACACTCCCCAGCCCCCCCGCCCCCTGCCCCGGCATCATGCATCGGACCACACGGATCAAAATCACCGAGCTGAACCCTCACCTCATGTGTGCCCTCTGCGGGGGGTACTTCATCGATGCCACTACCATCGTGGAGTGCTTGCATTCCTGTGAGTTGGGTGGAGGGTGAGCGGCCTCTGCCCAGGATGGAGGGGCACTGCGCGGGGAAGGCAGAGTATAGCCCCTGCCCTGAAGAGCACACACATCCATGTGTCTTGTGGGGTCCTCAGGTCACAGAGAGGCTGCCTGGGAGGGCAGACTGGAGGTTTCAGCCCAGAAGTTATTTTCAGGGACTTTCATCTGAAATCTCACCCCCTGAAGATACAGGTGTCCCTTGTGTGCACTATGGGCTTGTTGGCAAGGGGTCAAGGACCCCAGAGATGTCTAACAGGCTGGCTGTTGTTTTGTAGTCCATCAGAGGAGCTTGGGACTTGGGGCTCACCTTATGCATGATACATGACACTGGCCTAACACACACACATACACACGCACAAGATCTGTCCTCCCTCAAAGATAGATAAGGGGCACTTGTCATCTGTGCAGAACAGGCCTAAACTCTGGGGACAAGGTGGAGAAGAAGGGCTACCTGAACCTGAGCAGAGGGCGTGGGGCTGGTCTCGGGTCATGAAGGGAGCTCTGACTCTCCTCCCTCTCTCTATACCCCCTAAGTCTGCAAAACCTGCATCGTGCGCTACCTGGAGACCAACAAGTACTGCCCCATGTGTGATGTGCAGGTCCATAAAACCCGGCCGCTGCTGAGCATCAGGTGGGCCTGGCACTGTCCCTCCCACCCCTGCCAGTCCTCTGGGGCAGCTGTCCTCTGTCCCTCAGCCCTCCTTGCTTCCTGTAGCCAAGGTGGCAGATGGGGAATAAGCACTGGGCACGGACCCGAGGCCCCTTCCCTCCCTCGGTTGTATCCAGCTTGTTGTAGGCTGAGAAATACTGGAGGGGGAAAGACCAGGCCCACAGGGACCCCAGTGCCTGGGCCCTGAATCTGAGGAAGGGAGGTGGGAAGCGGGGTCCCTGGATGGAGAGATCAAGGTGAGGCACTGATAGGCCTCTGTTTGTTTTTTTCCAGATCTGACAAAACTCTCCAAGACATCGTTTACAAATTGGTCCCTGGGCTTTTTAAAGGTATCCATACACCCTTCCTTCTCCTGCCCAGCGCCCCCCACTTCCCAGCCTGTTGCTCCCTCCTCACCCTGCTTCCTTTCCTCTTCCAGATGAGATGAAACGGCGGCGGGATTTCTATGCAGCGTACCCCCTGACAGAAGGTGAGTGTGTTCACTTGTGTGTTCACACGTGTGTGTGTGCTCCCAGGCCTGGAACCATGTGAGTGTGGGGCACTGCTCCAGGCGTGAGGGCTGGATGCACTGGGCCGTCCATCCTCCGTGTACCACCATGCTGCCTCCCCAGCCCAGAGGATGGCTGGGTTCACCCTGCTGAGCTCCAAGATCCCTGGGTCCTTGGTGGGGCTCCTTTCCCCGATCCTAGATGACGCCCTCAGAACTCTCTCCTTCTGTAGTCCCCAATGGCTCCAATGAGGATCGCGGCGAGGTTCTGGAGCAGGAGAAGGGGACCCTGAGCGACGACGAGATTGTCAGCCTCTCAATCGAGTTCTACGAAGGTGTCAGGCAAGTCTGACCCAGAGCTGGTCCTTTTGGGGTCCTAGGCTGGGTTACCTCTTTTCCCACCCTGGCCCCATTGCCCTGGGAGGAAAGGGTGCCTCTGGATGTGTGCATTAGGGAATCCTGCCTGCTCCAGGGTCTCCCTAGCTTCATTCTTACTCCTCCCCCAGGGACCGGGAGGAGAAGAAGGGCCCCCTGGAGAATGGGGATGGGGACAAGGAGAAGGTGAGTACTGGGGCCTGCCTAGGAGTGGGATGTGAGTGGCGAGACAATGCCTGGGGTGGACCCCAGCCCTTGGGTGCCTCTCCCCCAGCAGACAGGGGTGCGCTTCCTGCGATGCCCAGCAGCCATGACCGTCATGCATCTTGCCAAGTTTCTCCGCAACAAGATGGATGTGCCCAGCAAGTACAAGGTGAGTCCCTGGGCCCTTTCAAAAAGTGAGTATCTGTGTGTGGGTGTGTCTGACAATCTGTGCATCCCAGACATTGTTCAGGGCTGGCTGGGTGTCACCAAGGGCCTGCAGGGTCATGTAATTGAGCCCGAGTAGAAGGGTAATTGAAACCAAGATTACAGTGGGGCAGTCTGCGTCTGTTGAAGCCAGTGTGCAGAGGTGTATGGGACCCAGATGGTGTGTGTGGATGTGCATGCATGCTTGCACACTCAGCACTGTGGCAGAGGTAAGTATGCAAAAATACAAGGTCTTATCTAGAGCCAGCTGGAGGAAGGAAGGTCAGTTGCATTCCAGTGGAGTTCTAGGACATTCCTCTCAAACTTGAATGTGTCTGTCATCTCCTAGAGATCTTGTTAAAATTCAGATTCTGATAGATTCTGCAGTGTTAGCAAGCTCCCAGGTGCTGCCAATGCTACTCTAGGATCCCAAACTTTGCTGCATGTCAGAATCACGTGGGGAGCTTTAAAACTTGACTCATGTCATCGCGCCAGGTGGCGTAGTGGTTAAGTTTGCGCACTCCACTTCAGCGGCACAGGGTTCACAGGCTTGGATGCTGGGCGTGGACCTACGCGCTGCTTACCAAGCCATGCTGTGGCAGGTGTCCCACATACAAAGTAGAGGAAGATGGGCACGGATGTTAGCCCAGGGCCAATCTTCCTCAGCAAAAAGAGGAGGATTGGCAGCAGATGTTAGCTCAGGGCTAATCTTGACTTGACTCATGTCACACCAGTTAAATCAGAATCTATGGATCTCTGGGGGTGAGATCCAAGCATTGGTGTTTTTCTTAAAGCTCCCTGGGTGATTCCACTGTGCTCCCTGGGTGAGAGCCAGTGTCCCACGACATCCTTCTCACCTGGGCCTTTTCTTTGCCCATTAGCTCCTCTGGGGTACCTGCCAGAGATGTAACGGGACCCAGATAGCTGCGTGGATGGCTGGGGGTGGCGGTTGTTAAGGATGTGGGTGTCTTCTCTGGATCCCTTCCATGTGGTAGTCAGGAGTTATGTTGGGACAACTCTGATAGGAAAGTCAAATACACCATGAAACCCAAGAGTTATGAGGACCACCTGCAAGTCCACCCTCCCCAGTGCTCCACCTCCCACCCCCCAAGACTCCTAGCTTGGAGCCTCTTTGCCAAATGGCTGGAGGCTTGAGCCCGGCCAGGGTCATGGTGTCCACCCTTTCCTCCTCCAGGTGGAGGTTCTATATGAGGACGAGCCCCTGAAGGAATACTACACCCTCATGGATATCGCCTACATCTACCCCTGGCGGCGGGTGAGCTGGGCTGGGAGGGGACCCCTGCAGGGTCTGGCGTTGGTCTGTGGCCACACTGACCGCATGGGCCACCCTGCTCCAATCAATCACAGTTCATCCCCTGTCTCTGAGCTGGGCATGCCCAGGGTGGCTCACTACACCAGGTCAGCCTCCAGGCCATCTCCCTGATGACCTCCCACACTCAGAAGGAGAAAAGGATCCTTGGGCAGATATGGGCCCCGATTCAGGGTCAGAAAAGAGGGTCTGGTGGCTGTGAAGGAGTAAATGTTGCTTTCTGCTCTTCGGCCTCCCTCTTTCCTTTTTCTCTCGTCTCTGGTCTTACACGGTCCGTCTGCCTCTCTGGGTCTTTGTGTGCCCCTGTATCTCTGGCCTTGCTCCTCCCCTCTGCTGGCTCTTTCTCCTCTCCAAGGCCCGGACCTTCCCTTTCTTCATGTTTGGACACTGTGGCATGAAGGGGGGGTGGCAGTCTGGTTAGCCTTTCTCCTGACACCCTCCGTTTCCCTGCGTCTCTCCCCACAGAACGGCCCTCTCCCCCTCAAGTATCGTGTCCAGCCGGCCTGCAAGCGGCTCACCTTGCCCGCAGCGCCCACCCCCTCTGAGGGCACCAACACCAGTGGGGCATCTGAGTGTGAGTCAGTCAGCGACAAGGCTCCCAGCCCTGCCACCCTGCCGGCCACCTCCTCCTCCCTGCCCAGCCCAGCTACCCCCTCCCATGGCTCTCCCAGCTCCCACGGGCCCCCAGCCACCCACCCTACCTCCCCCACCCCTCCTTCGGCAGCCAGTGGGGTCACCACAGCTGCCAACGGGGGCACCTCGAACTGCCTGCAGACACCATCCTCCACCAGCAGGGGGCGCAAGATGACTGTCAACGGAGCTCCTGTGCCCCCCTTAACTTGAGGAAAGGGACCCTCTTCCTTCTTTTCCAGCCACGCCTCTCCACTCCTCCACTTTTTCTGGGCCCCTTTTTCCACCTCTTCTACTTTCCCCAGCTCCTCCCACCTTAGGGGTGGGGGGCGGGTTTTATAAATAAATCTATATATATATGTACATAGGAAAAACCAAATATACATACTTATTTTCTATGGACCAACCAGATTAATTTAAATGCCACGGGAAACAAACTTTATGTGTGTGTATGTGTGGGGGATGGGGTGTTCATTTTTAGGGGGTCTTGTGTAATTTGCCCTGCTCTCTTGGGGGGGTGCCTGGAGATAGACTAGAGGACCACTTGAGGCCCAATAAAGCTCTGCTCCATCCTCCTGTTTCCCAGGGAAGATGGGGCGTTAGGGGGCCCCACCAGCCCCCAAAGCTTTAGGCCCAGTTCTAACTGGCTGTGTTTGGGGTCCACCTTCCCTCTCCCCATCTTGGCTGCCATCCTGCCCTGACCAGTGCCCTGCCCACCCCCCCCCCCATTGTTGAATGTCCAGAAAATTGCTAAGACAGTGCCTTTTACAAATGCAGTTTATTCCTGGTTCTGAGGAGTGAGTGGGCGGTGGAGATGGCATCTCCCTTACCTCCTCCTCTTGCAGTGGAAACTTTGTGCAGAGAATAGATAGTTCTGCCTTTTTTTTTTTGCCTTTGTGTGTGGCCTGTGCATCATTTATCTTGTGGAAGAGAAGATTCAGGCCACGTGAGGCCTCAGCCCTTGGAATTCCACTGTGGCTTTAGCATTGTGAACCCACCCCCACCCCCACCCAGGAACCCCGCACTAGCAAGGCTGGTGGTAAAGTCTCATTTGGGGGCCTAGAGGGGACAGGGGGAGTGGGGTTAACCTCAGACAAGCACAGACCCCAGATTCTGCCAAAGGCAAACAGCCCTCCAGTCCCCTCCCTGCCCTCAGCTGAGGCTGAGTCAGGAAAGAGTGACAGAGGCTTCTAAAAGCACAAGAAGACAGAAACCTGTAAGCTCTGACCTCAGCTTCATCCCGAGAGGTCAGTGGACTGTCCCCTGGGGGGCAGACCCCACCAGATCCCTGCCCGCCTGTTTTTCCTCCAGTATACATGGAGCAGATCGGGGAGGAGGTGAGGAGGCAAGACTCTCACAACCTAGATGTTTGGGGTTGGGAGCCCCCCGACGGGTTTGTGTTTGCACCTTGTCCTGTGTCTGAGGTGCTGTGGCTGTACACTCCTCTCGCCCTGGGACATTTGTATCTCCTGGCTTTGTAATAAATGCTGCATACTCTCCAGAGCCTGTAGTTCTTTGGGGTAGAGGGGACAGGGAAAGGGTGGGTGGGTCCTCTGGTCTCATCCTCATGCCTCCTCTCTAGGCTCAGCCTGCCTCGGGACGCCATATGGAATGAACATGAACTGCCCCCTCCCTGTGGCCAGTCAGGTGCCCTGGGGCCAGGTTAAGTTCCAGAGCGGGGTGGGTCACGTGCCTCACACCAGGGACAAGAACACCAATCTGGGCGAGCGTGCTTGTTTAATGCCATCTCCTTCACCAGCAGGCATTGAACCAGGGGCCTGTCCCTGGCTGCCCCAGATTAGAGACCTCAGGTTATGGGGACCATGTCTTTTCACAAGCCAGCTGTGGGTAGTGTGGTCCCTGGATGATCCCGTCCTGGGCTCAGCACTCAGTTTCCTTCCCCGCAATGGCGTGGGGCTAGGCAGCAGCCACCCCCTCAGAGCGGGGAGCCCACTTCTGCCTTCTGCACCCGCTCACTCCTGTGGGTGCCATCGCAGTACGGGGGTTTCTGGGTGGCCTTGCAGGTACAGAGAGCCACTGTGCGGGTCTCCTGGGCCTTGAACTTGAGTGGGGACAGGCCAGTGTGTTGGAAGAAGTGGGAGCCGTCACAGAAGGGCTGGTGAGGGAAAGAGAGAAGTTAGAGACCCGAGACCCCACCGGCTGGGGCAGGGCGGGTCTGGGAAGAGTGGTGCACAGTGGTCAGGGCTTGGGCTCCGGAGGCAGACTGCCTGGGTTCACTAGTTCACCTCTCTTATCTGTAATGTGAGGGTAATAAGAACAGAATTGTCCCAAGGCAATAAATAATGGTTATTATGCACTTTGCCTGTAGTAAGTGTTCAGTAAGTATGAGTCTACAGCATTAGTCTCTGGGGGACCCAGAGGCCAGGACACAAGGACAGAGTTTTCAAGGTGAAATGGGACTTTAGGTATCAGCAATGTTTACGTGATAGGTTTTGTTTTTTTAATGGTTCTGAGTCTCCATTGGTTCATGAAATCCATTTCCTTCCCCACATTCTCGGGTAAAAACTTTTCTGGATGGGAGAGAACCTCCGGTGTCACAGTGCTTTAAGACTGGGGTATTGATTTTTGTTTGGCTCTAGGAAACACCTGGGCATGTTATAGGGAGTGGGTGTCACAGGGAGGCAGGGGATGTCCCAGAGTGAACCAGTGCCTGGTGCGGGAACACACTCTCCATCCATCCCAGAAGCTGTTCAAGCAGAGACTGGGTGATGGAAACTGAGGCCCAGAGAGGTGCCTTGTCTTGCTAGTTAGTGGCAGAGCTGGAGCAAAGGCCTCTTGCCCTTGGGTCAGGATGGGGTAGGAGGAGAGATGAGAGGTGGGCAAATAAAAATCAGCCACCTGTCCCAGAGGGCAAGAGGCAGAGAGGCACAGAGTGGGCTGGGCCATACTCCAGCTGGCATCCCCTAGCACTGCCCCACCCTCACGAGAACCTGCTCAAAGTCAAATCAGTGGCAAAGTAGACTTGGGACCCTGGGCTGCTGACAGCACGCCACACCCCTTGGAGGAACACAATTTAGAGCTCAGCTCAGGAAGAAAAGGGCTAAGAATATGGGGCAGGTTCCTGCTGGATGAAAGGCTCCTGGGGCAGAGGGGAGAACAAGTTGGGAGCAGGCAGCCAGACTGAGAAGACAGCAGGCTGCGGCAGGCAACCAGGACCGTCACATAAACTGAGAAAGGGGAGGGTCTGCAGGAGAAGACGCTGGAGGAGGGTCTGCACAGGGTCTTCCCAATGTAGGCTTTGAGGCCTGGGAACCTTTGGCCCAGATGCTTCCAGGAAGGAGGAAGGAGACGGGAGAGAGACAGGTGAACCTCTCTCTGCTTAGAGCAGGAGCCAGGCCTTGCCTCTGAGAAGGAGGCAGCGCCAGAGGAGTGCAGACCCCCGGGCGTCACCCGCCTGCCTTCATGACTGAGTTTCTGTCTCTCTGGCCTCATCTCAAAGGGTGGATGCGGAGAACAGGGAGCTCAGGCTGCTGGTGGCGCTGGCCCAAGCGTATCCTTTCACCCCCAACCTCCCTTGTCCCTCAGGCATGTGTGGGAAAAAGAGGAACACCTTGGGGGGGAGCTCCCACTGTGCTGTCCCCAACAAAGGGTGTCATATGTCAATGGGAAGGGGAAGGGTCTCTCACCTGCTTCTTGCTGCGGCCACACACACACCACCTGTAGGTTTTCCCAGCCACCAGCTCCACCTTGATGGGCGTTTTCTGGGCCACCACAGACTTGGCTGGGGTTTTGGGGAACCATCTGGCCTGTGGGAGGGAAGATGAGGGGCTCAGGGTCAGCCCACACCCTGGAAGCACCTTCCTGCCTATGTCCTTGTCCAGTTTCCCACTGGCCCTAGTTTGTGGCAGGCTTCCTCTGCAGGAGGCTGATCTGATGCCACTCCGAAAGGCCCATAAGGACCCTGAGCTCCAGATAGGGAAGAGATTTCAAGGCTATGCAGGCATTCAGGTTCCCGGATCCAGCCGCCTTCCCTTCAAACTCGGGCTCCCACCCGCGTGCTAGGGAGGGGAGGGTCAGCATCCCGCCAGCCTCAGCGGGCCAAGTGCACCTGGGGCTTGGTGTATCAGGCACGGCAGTTCGCAGCCCTGAAGCCTGGCTTCCCGCCCTGTGCCCTCGGGTCCACTCTACCTCCCCTGAGCCATCAGGAGGTGGCTACTGCCAAGGCCTTCGGACGCTGGGGTCTGGGAAGCAGCGCTGACCCTTTCTGGTCCCGTTCTCTGGTCTCTACCTTTGGGGCCTCCGGGCCTGGGGGACTTGCGCGGAGAGAAGGGAAACTGGGGGTACTCACCAGCCAGGAGGAGCTGTCCCGCCTCTGGTTCAGCTTCTGCAAGGCACGCAGGCATCATGTGACGGTGGTTTGGCAAGAGAAAAATAAAGTCAATGGAAAGCGGAGGAATTCCAGAGGGAAGTCATCCGGGAGGGAAGAGACGGCAGGGCTTAGGGGCGTGGGAGAAATAAGAGGGTAAGAAAAAGGGGTCACAAGAGAGGAAGGGGAGGTGCTAGCACCCAGCAGGCGCTCAGGGAGGGCTGCAAAGCACCAGGCGACGCGGGGACCCGGGGGAGCTCGGCGGAGGGGCAGGGGGCGGCGCTTGGGAGGGAGCGGGGGCGGGCAGCGGCGAGGGGAGGAGGAGGCCAGGGCTGCGGCGCCGGGGTGCGGGGTGCTTACCCAGGCCGCCGGCCGCAGGAGCGCCCCCATGCCGCCCATGCCGGTGCCCTCGACCGCTCTGCGCCGGCTCCGCCTCGCGCCCGGGTCACCTTCCCGCTTCCCCCGCCTCCCGGCCGTCCCGGCCCCGCCTCGGCCCGGAAGACGCCGCCGGGTCCGCGCGGGTGGGGCGGCGGCCTGCGCGGTCCGGTCCGGCCCCGGCCGCCGGAAGCCGAGCGGAGGTGCCAGCCCAGCAGCCTCCTCGGGTCCCCTGGGGAGTGTGGAGGGGGCTCTCCTGGCGCCCCCTTTGGTACCGGCATGTCTGTGCAATGACCCGCGCAGAGCATCGCTTCTCGTTTCTTCTTGCCTCAGCCTCCCAGGGCACCCCCGTGTGAGCGGGGACCCTCCTGGGAGCCGTTTGCTCTTGCAGTCTGAGGCAGTGTTTTTAGTAGTGCAGTGGTGTCCACCTCATCACCCAGGGAGCTGGTTTTGTAACAGTCTCCGCCCGGCCCAGGCTTACAAAGTACATTGTTGTAGGTGGGGCACAGGTATCCGTCTTCAATATGCAGCCCGGGGCGTTTTGTGCATTCTGACCTGTGAACTACCACTCTGAGTGTGAGAGACCATCCCCCATCCCCTCCCGAGGCTCCCACAGTTGGCACTCCACCTCCTTCCCCTTCAATAAAGCCAGACAAAGCAGGGTCTCTTTGGATTTTTTTCTTTTTTGTAAAACATTCTTTTATTAAAAGAACAAGTGCTGTTTACGAACTGCCCTTCGTACAAATAACATCCGTTATACAAAGATACAAGATCCGGGTTATGCACAATTCCAGGCTTGGAGGTGGCGAGGAGGAGGGGCATTGCCTTTTGGGCTGAGAATACAAAGGAGGTTTTAGAAAGAATGAAAAAGGAGCCCCTGGGTTTGCAAACTGTGGCTTCCCCTCCCTGCTCCCCTGGGAAGGGTCTGCTACATTGAGACAGGCTGGGGTGGAAAGAGGGGCACAGGGGTGGAGTCAGGGTTTGGGTTCTCCAGTCCCACCACCTAAGTCCCAAAGTGAACACAGCGCAATGAAGGCACCCCTCAGTCCCCAACTTTTCAGTAGATCAAGTCAAAGTAGTCGGGAGCGAAAAACACTTTAAATCCGGATTGATGTGACTGGAGGGAGCCAGGGGACTGCGCCCCACCTGCCTCCAAATTCCCAATCAAAGTCACCTTAATCCCTCCAGGCACCTCTCCCGGAGAAAATGAGTTGGGACAAAGGAGAATTGGGAGCAGGCTGCACTAGGAAGTGCACACTAGCCCACTGCATAAGGAAGATGCTGGAAGCTGGCAGGGGGGAGCCTGTGCCTTTGAAAACTTGTCTGCATTTCCAGTTTGGGAAAAGGAAGTGTAGGGAAGGTTACCCTTTCTCAGAGCTGGCCCCTGGCTCTGGGTCCCCTCACTTGTCTAGGCCCTTCCCAGGACTACTTCCTAGAACTCAGTACAGGAACGGGTAGGGGTGCTCTCATCAGCCTCAAGGTAAGAGCACCTGGAGGCAGCAGTAGACCCAGGAGCCTGAGGGGAAAAACTCACACAGAAATAGGAAAACCTTAAAAAAAAAAAAAAAAAAAAAAGGAAAACGTTAAAGTGTCATTGTCTATGGAAAGAATCCGTCAGCTCTAAGGCTAGACATAAATGCTAAATAGATACCTTCCCACCCGGGGCGTAGCCCCACACTCACACTACACGTCACACACACAGGGACAGATGGACAGCCACATGGAGGTGATACAGTGGGGCGAGAGAGCCCAGGACCAGGAGGCCAGGGTCCTGAGGGCTGGTCCTGGCTCTGCCCGGAGCCCCTGCCCCTCCTAGGCTTGGAGCTATCACCTGTGAACCGAGGAGCTGGCTCAAACGACCCCTAAAGACAGGTCCCTTCCAGCTCTGACACTCATGCACCCGTCGTGACCTCAAGGCCAAACAGCAGCTTGGCATGCACACCCCACTCACACAGCGAGCTGAGGGCGACGACACAAAGCTCAACTCTCATGCATTTTCAAGCTCCACTTCCGCCCTGCAAACCACATCCTTCCCCTCCCCTAGACAGAGATCTACAAGTCTGTGTCCCTTCTCATTCTCCATCTAAATTCATCCTGGAAAAAGTGACTGAGGCTGGGAGAGGAGGATGAGGTCAGTACAGCTGTGCCCCCTGGCATTGAGACCCTGCTCCCTTCTGAAGATCTCCAGACCTTTCCTATTATAAAGCTCTCTCAAAAGGAAATGCATTACCTCTCCCATGCCTCCCTTCCCCTCCCCGCCCCAAATCGAGGGACAGCACCAATCCATACCCAGCCTGTGTCCCTTCTTCAAATCTAACCCACCTGCCGCTGCACCCCAGCCTGGGGAAAATTGGAAAACACAGACTCTTGGAGATGAGAACCCCAGACTCTTGGGTGCTGGGAGGGAGGGGGGGAGGTGTTGGTTCCAGTGCACTAAATCATTTGAACATCTTGCTCTCCACCAAGGCAGCCTTGGAGGGGCTTTACTTCCCTCCCATCCAGAACAGAAGTTGACTTCAGCTCTACGTGGGCCAGCCTTGGGTGAGGGTGTGGGTGTGAATGAGCAACTCTTCTAAGAATCTCTGAAAGTTCTTTTCAGTGGTCTAGGAGCAGGGAGTTAGAGAGCTTAATAGATGAAGATGAATAAAATGCTGAATTCTATCATTTCTTTCTAACTGATATTTAGCATTAATAAAAAGTGAGTATTTCTGAGGTCATCACCACTGTCTCCCCCCACCCCCCCAGCCCTTGCAAGTGCCTAAGAAATTGCCTCTGAAGGATTCCCACCCACCCCCTCCATTATCAGCTCCCTAACATCTTACAAAGTCTTATCAACAGGAATATTAATATTATTTTCAGTATCAGAAAAAAACCAGTTCAGCAGCACAGGCAAAAATATATCTGCACTACATTTCTGTCATTGCCAAAAATATACACATCTTCTTTTCTTTATTTAAAAAAAAAAAACCAACAACAATAAAAACCCCAACAGAAACACACACAAAAAATCCACACATGCAAAGAGACTGACAAGACATGAGCGTCAGGGAAAGCTGGAAACGCCTTCTCCTGGCCCCAACCCCAGTGCAACTGAAACAGACACAGGCTTCAACCCTGCCCCTCTCCTGGCGGCCCCACCGCCCCTGAGCCCTGCCACCAAAGGCCCTGGGCAGATGGGGACTCTTTAAGGTGAGGATTTCTTACTAAACCCCGGGAAATAGCTGGTGGGTGAAGGGACAGTTGTTAGGTGAGCTTAAGCTTAAGTGTCCCCTGGTTGGTGGGGGTGTGGTGGGGTGTGGGGGAGCAGGCTGGCTAATCCTGGGAGGTTTTCACTAAAAGAAGTGGCACTTTACCCCCTGTCCCTTGCCCCATCCCCCAATCCCTAACCCTGGGGCTCCCCTTGTGCCAGGGAAGCAGGACCAACTATCAGTGGAGGAAGGGGAGCTCTGAGGGGGCACTGAGACTATGTGGGGGCTGGGGGAGGGAAGGCAGGATTTACCCTGATTCTAAGCCCCCAGCCCCCGTTACTCTCCAATATTGGAGTACTGTTCCGGTTTCTGTTAACCATTCATGCCCCAGAAAGGGACCAAAGTAGGGGAGGTGGGGAGGGTGCAAACAAGAGCTGGGAGCCGCCCCTCTGGTGCTGCCTTGTCTGAGCACTGCTCCTATCCCTGCCCTTGGCTGCCCCAGGTCCAGGGGAGACACACACATGCACACCCATGCACGCACACGCACACACACACTCTCTGAGTCAGGCAGCTCCATCTCCCCAGCTTCAGCACTCCTAAACCCAATAGTGCAAACAAGGGGCGGGGCACCAAGGGGGCTGGGCCTCCTCCCCCTGCCCTCCCCCAACCCATCATTGGGGGCCCAGAGGTGGGGGGGCTTGGGCCCAGTTTGATGCCATCCTGCCCCTTCCTCAGTCCCCTAGTCTGTGGGCTTTTACAAGCTCAGCTCGTGACCCTCCTTGGGGGGGCGGGGGAAGGGGACAGGCTAGAAACAGTCCAAGGGATCCCCCCTGCCATCCGCCCACGTTGGGAAGAAACTGCAGGTAACGCAGGGCCTCCCTTCTCCTATAAAAGACTTCCACAGGGGCAGACCCAGGGCCTACCCCTTCTTCTTCCCACTCAAGTGCTGATCCATTTTATGTGGAGGGTCCAACCAACCCCCACTTACACCATGGCCCACTCTGCTCTCTGGGAGACCTCAAAACATTCGCTGAGAGTGGGGGTTCCTACGTGGGCTTGGAGCCTGTCCTCCCTCTGAGCCCCTCACAAAGGGGTCAGTGCAGAGAGGGAAGGGGCTCCCTCTTGGCCTCAGTCCTGGGCACCAGGAGTGCCTCGCGCTCCCCAGGCCTCAGCACAGGATCTGGGCCGGGGCTCTCCAGTGTCTGGGCGTGGGTGCCTGCTCCAGGCTGGGACCCCTGGGGCCAGGATCTGCCCCTTCCACCTGGGGGGCCAGGAGGGCCATGAGTGGATTTAGCCTTTTTCCTGGTTGGCTGAGGCTCCTTTGTCAGCGGTCTGGAAAGAGAGGAAGGGAGGCTGGGGGTTTGGGAGGGGTCTGGTCCTAACACCCAGTTGAGAACAGCTTCCTGGGAAGCTGTTGTAGTGCAGTGAGGGAGCCCAGCTGACACCAGGATCAACATTTGTCGGGGGGGAGTTGCCCTGCACAAGGGTGCCTGGCTAAGCAGGCATGTGCCAGCCAAGGCCAGCACCCTGGGCCCCAGCTATATGCTCTCAGCGGAAGGAGGGAGGGCCTTTCTCGAAATGGCCCACCCAGAGCTTCATTTTTTCCTAATTGGTCCACCCAGAGAGGAAACAACCTTTTCTAATTGGTCCTTTTACTAAGCGCTAACGCTGAGAGTGCATCTTTCTTGGGTCTGTAGGAGGGCAGCTATGTGCTAGCAGAGGCCCTGGGGTCTGGAGCAGGGTGCTTTGCTGACCTGGGGGTCGCTTCCTTCTTTCTTCTGATGATGTACCTTCTGGTGCTCCACCTCTGCCCAGCCCAGAGAACAG